GCCTTCCTGCCCTCTGCTCCGCCAGCCTGCGGTGGGCCCTTTTCCCTTCCCTTCCCTTCAGTTCTTACTGCCTGTCACGTCATTATTGCAGCTGAGGTGGTGTATTACTGCATCGTGTGTGGTACCCTAGCATGCCGGCTAATAGCTGTTTTTTGCAGGTAACGTTTCGGACAAGAATCTACCACTGTAACATTAACAGCCAAGGCGTCATCTGCCTGGACATCTTAAAAGACAACTGGAGCCCAGCGTTAACCATTTCTAAAGTTCTCCTCTCCATCTGCTCCCTCCTCACAGACTGCAACCCGGGTAAGTCCCCTGCACGGCCAGGCGGGCCGCCTGCCGCCTTGCACCCCACCCGGCACCCGAATAACTTGGCCCTCACCTCATCCTGTTGGCTTCGGCCAGCGTGGCTCTGGCCTCCAGCGCAGCACGTTTCCATCTCCAGGGCAGCTGGAGAGGGGCTGGAGGTGGTGGAGGTGATACACCCTACCTGCCTGCTGTTCACCGCTCCTCAGGCTGACCCACAAGGAAAGCGGCGGTCCTCCTCCTGCACATGAAAACTCCTTCCCCTTCCAAACCAACTCTGGTTTTGGGTAAGGGTTAAACACTCTTCGCTGGTCTGTAGGACTGTAGTAATTCAGTAACGGAGCTAGAAGAGCCACAAACGCAGTTCTGAAAACAAGGGGATTAGCTTTTTACGTTCCATCATCCATTTAAAACCAGTGACCAACTATGCCACAAGTAGTCCTCGCTGCTTCTCTAACCCACCCGTTATCCACGCCAGTTAAGAGGAATATGTCTTTGTTTCTGAAGTCAATTTTACAGGTTGTATTTCTATATGTGTCTAAAGATGAGAGAAACACCAGACTTCACACTCTGTTATGTATAATAAAAATAAACTTGTTGGAAAAATAAAACCTCTCCTTGAGATCTGATCTTTCCTAGAAGGCAGATTTATAATGATACAAGTACACTTAGCAACGAGTATGTCCCAGGCACTTTTAGAAGGGGTAAAATAAACCTGAAATGCATGAATCGGTGAAAGTCCTCAGTAATGCAAAATATGACTATTGGATTGTTGTCTTTTAAATTCCTTAAAGCTTTAATTGTCATTTCGCTCTTTATTAAGTAAAAGATACACACAAATCAGTGAAGATACAGACCATCAGTTCAGTATATTTAGATTGCTGTAATGTGCTTTACCTGTGTGATTCCCTTGTATTAAATTCACACTTCAGCTTTATTTTTAAGTTTTTATTTGGTAACTTGTCTGAAATAAGTCGTTTTGTTTTCTTTTCAGCTGACCCCCTGGTTGGAAGTATTGCCACTCAGTATATGACTAACAGAGCAGAGCATGACAGAATGGCCAGACAATGGACCAAAAGATACGCTACATAAATTGGATTTTCGTCAAACTCTTACATTATTCGTCTGTGATGGAAAGAGCTGCTTATGATTTTGAAGGGGTGGGGGGGGGAGGGTGCTGGTAAAGAGTAGGGTATTTCTATAACAGATTTTATTCAGTCTTTTATTTCCTAAGATTTTGTTGTTGTAACTTAAGGTATCTTGCTACAGTAGAGACAGCTAGGATTGGGAATAGCATATTTTAAGACTGTAATTAGTTCAGCAATATTAGCTCACACATAGTACTGAGAAGAATGTAAACTTCTTAGACTTCTTTGGTTTTCAGTTTGCTTGCAATATGTAAAAGATTACAACAGCTTAATTTTGTACAGGTACATATGTTGACATTTATGTAAAAGTCCTTTCAAGACTCTACACACAGGTTTTGCTCTTTGTTTGTTTTGGGTTTGGTGGGTTTATTTTGTTCTGGGTTGGGTTTCTTTTTTTTTTTGTAAAAAGATGCTGGGATTGTTTTCCCCTATGGAGGGCACATTGGTATTTAACAAATCCTTTTTAAAGACTGTCATCTCATGATCTGTGATACGGAGAGGTGGATATATGGCCTCATATATGAAATGAGAAGTAGTTAATGTATTATTTTATAAGCCAATCTATCTTTGTGAAAAGAATAAAGGGTTTAATCAGGACTTACGGTAACCTGTAGTGAAATACCTTAAGCTGTTTAACTGTAAGGCGTGGAATAGGAGTCACTCAGTGGATTGGTTGTATGTTGTGGGCTACTTAAGTCTGCATTTGTTACTGTGCTAATAAAAAGATGTTTAAAAAAAAGAAGAAGAAAAGATTTCTGCTTAGTGCTTTGCTTTGTCATTTTGCCAGAACAGTGTCTCCCAGTACGCTTTGAGGATTACAGTATGGATAAGGACAAGGGAGATCTGCAGGTGAGTGCACCGACTGCTGCTATTTTGGGAAAACACTTCTAGGCAAGCATACAATGAATGAAAGACTTTTTTCAACTGTTCACTGTGTAAGTGTTGTGCAGGCTGGCATGGCCCACGAGGAGCCACAGAGTCCACCCTAGTTACTTTTTAGCTTAAGTTTTCACAGCGTTGGCTTTTCAGGACATTATTTCAAAGTACAGCTGGAAAAGTGTAAGAGATCTGGAAGGGAAACAGGCAGGAGGTAAAAGAAGAGAGTATCTTCATTGTTTTTTTCTGATGGAGTGGCCTATTCCCACTTGGAAGAGGAGGAGTCGTGTCCTGGTAAGCTAGCAGAAGACACCTTAAAGGAGAGTAAAGGAGACTTAATCTGTAGATCCTTTAACTACCTACAAAGATTATCTCCTAGAGACATGGTGTTTACATTGAGGTGTGTAGCAACAGGGCAGTTAGTTGTGGATATGGCATTTTTGACCACTCCCTTAAGGTAAAGGCCGGAAGTACAGATTCATTTTCACATGGCAAGTACTTCACCTTGCGACATTCATCTGAGTGCTATGTGGTCATCTGCAGTCTTGGATTTGTTTTGGTACTTTAAAATAAATTCTGTATATATTTTATTTATATACTTCTCTTCCTATCTATATATAGATCAAATCTAACTTGGTCCAAAGTAATCTGTTAGATTACAAACCCTTCCTTTGGCTGGGTGGTTGTGGGTAGTAGTACATTAGCCTCATCTGCTGAACTGCCTTCTTTTGACACAACGTATGTTTTGGTGTATGAGCTCCCTCAGCTGTTTGGCTCAGCCTAGGCAAATTTTTGGTATATAGCTGCATCACGCCAGGAGCATCTCTGGTAATCGTTTCCTCCTCTCCTTACCGAGTGAGGAGGTAAATGGCTTAATCTCTGTAGGTTTTTGTCGGCTCCTTGCTTCATGCTATCAGGACATGCCAAATTAACTGTTGTAGCTGGCAGGGGGAGGGAGCTGATTTGGAGTGACTGATCTGCACAGTGTTTATTTATTGGTGTTGGGGTGACGGTTGGACTCGATGATCTTAGAGGTCTTTTTCAACCTTAATGATTCTATGATTCTATTCAGCAGGGATAAAAGTTTAAGAGGAACAGAGAAAGACGGTTCAATTTACTAATTTATTTTTCTTTTTTATAATAATTTTTCTCCATTATCTTGTGAAGGGACTGTCTAGCTCTGTAGCAGGTCAGTGATCCCAGTGACCCAGGACAGGTTTTGAGTCAGTGGAATAGTAAGAACAAAATACATGTTCTGCCCTTTAGCTACTACATTATACTCTGTACTTTACTTATTAACCCTATGTAAAACTGTACTACAGTGAGTTTAATTTTTACTCAGTACCAGCCACTGTGTGTAGATTGTTTGCAGAGGAGACACTGCATTTTCCATCACTTGTCAATAAAATACTATGGTATTTAGAAAAGACAATTGATTTGAGTGCTTAAAAAGCATCAGAATAAGCTTATGAAAGAAAACAGTGGGTGGTGGTTGTTTATGTGAATGCCCAAAATGATCTAAACTCATTTCTAATGAATTTAACCAAATCAAAGAGAACGTGTTTGCCTTTATGTAACCTGTTTGGAAAAATGGCCTTAGTCATTCGGAAGATCCCTTTTCCTCTTGCCATTCTTAAGACATTGTCAAGTCCTGAGTGTCCAGGGGAGCAAGTGAGCAAGCTGGTCTTGCACGACAGGGCTCTGCCAGCCTACAGGTGACATCAGTCTTGGCAGTGGAATTGGCACCGAGTCTGCGGGGTGCAGAACTGGACAGGAACCAGTCATCTCTGTTCCTTCCATCTCCACACATTTTAAGTTAATTCTGACTTGTCAACCTGCACTCCCTTGGCTCAAGGGTCAGCTTCAGTGACGATGTGCAGTTAGCAGAGGTCTTTGCTTACTTTGATTGATCCAAAGCTGAATCAAGTCCCTTCTAGAAGAAGGGTTCTGCAGAGCTGAAGAGGAGAAACATAGCCAGTTCCTTGGTGAGAGGTTGCAGCAAGGAGGAGAATGGCTGCTGCTCTGAAGTCACCCCCACTTCCCAAGCACGCAGGCAGACGTGGAGTCTTCTGGGTAGGGAGAAGCCTTGAGTACACGTGTGTTCGGTAGGATATAAGTGAGGAGGGAGTGTTGTTCTGCATCACTGCTGGGGACAATGACTGTTACTAGCCAGGTTGGGGGAGGTCGTGCTACAGTGCTTACTCAGCTGCAGTGTTGCAATGGAAACAATTGTATGTTTCTAGCAGGGCATTACAAGAGCTTGCTCATTCATAATTGCTCTTATCTTACTCTTTGGCCACAGCAATCCAAACTATATTGAGCAAAGCACATAAACAGTTTCATCTACCTTCATTATAAAGGTAGGAATACCTGCTTAATTTTTAGTGAATTGTACTGCTGCTCTGACATTAGTAATGCTGACGGACTTTGTCAGTATTCAGGAAGAGCAATGCTATAAGCACACAGCTTAATTGTAATCATTAAGCACACTTACTATTCAGCAGTTATGATATGACAGTGCAAATATTGCTCGTGGTTTTGCTGACTCACAGTGAAATTCTCTGTTTGTTCAAAACAGCATTATTTAGTGGAAAATGAGGGAACTGGGTACTTCAGTTCACTCCCTCTCCCCAATCTTGTCTTCAAATATAAAGAAAAGCTAGTATCAATTAATATAAGAGGTTGTTAGAGGCCAAAAGCTGGCTACTCTGTCTGGGAACGGTTGCTTATTCTGTCCCTCTATATCCAATTTTGTTTAGTTTACTGACAGGCTGACCTAGGACAGCAGATTCCTGCAGCACAGGTTTACCAGCGTGGCGAGTCAAATACAGCATGTACAGTTGTGCTCCTGCTGCTGGACAATGTGCGGCGTATTAAGACCAAGGCCATTTGTACAGGTATTTCTGGGTGTTTGCCATGGGGATGTTCCCAAAAGGCAGCCTCCTACACTCCCTAGCCCCCTCTCACAAAGCAGTACAGCACTTCGTACCGGTTGTTATCTGCCTGTAGCTTCATAGCGAGGGTGGATTACCGCAGCTTGGCTGAACGGCTGGGTGGGAGTATTATGCAATGCACTGAGCAGAGCCCGGGCAGTACCTCCTGCATACAAAATTGCTCAGTATAATTTCTCAGTAAAATTATCACCTGTGTGAATGTGACTGATTTGTACTGGACATGCTGGAACAAAACCACGTTACAGCTATGTTGTCCTTCAGGTTGCAGTTAAATTAATGAGTGCTCTGAGAGCTTTTCTGGTTTGTACAAATAAATTCCTGAGCTGAAAGCATTGCTTGCCAGACTTTGCTGACAAGCTTCATGTCGGGGTAGATCTGTTCTAATATCTCCCACAAGATTTGTTTTTTTTCTTTTTCTTTTTCTTTTTTTTCCCCCCCAGACACTAGCAGAAGTTCAGCAGCTAAATTTGCTGGTAGTTGTTCCTCCTGCCCCAAACTTTTCTCCTGCAACAACACACTGACCTCAGCCTCCTGCAGCGTCAAAAAGCCCTGTGGCTCTGTTTAAGATCAAGGTAAAAGGGCTGTTGCCATTTCAAACATATCCTCTCTCCAAATCAAATGCTTTATTGCAGCTAGTACTATTTATGACTAGAGGCTATAGATCTGCAGGGGGATTGCTTAATGATAAGCTTGGTGATTTGTTCCTCAATATGGCTGTATGCAGGCATAGTCAAAGCCCCTACTAGAGAGGCTATCCCTTCCCTCCTCCATAACCCTTGGTGCAAGATAACTCCTCTCATGAAGTGCTTTTTAAGGCTTTTACCACCAGTGACTTTTTCAAGCCAAGTCCATGAGAAGGAAGGATACCTCTTAGCCATAAGCTTGCTGATTTTATTGCTGAATGAGATTATTGCTTTAAGTGAAACTGTGATAAGCAAATGGCACAGAAAGGACTTAATCTGTGACCTGGCAGCAGCAGACAATGCTAAGGTAGTTTAGTTATCACAGTTATTCCCTTTGCTCTTCCTTCCAGGCAAGGGAAATGCTGATTTGTTCTGGGACTGGGAGAGTTTGCTGGCTAAGAAGGTGAAGGGCTCAAGCAGTGTTTTCCGATCTGTCACAGTCACTTCCCACAGTCTCACTTTCTCGGCCCTTGCCCATTGCTGTGCTGTTTCTGTTTCCACTTGCCTTTGGTCCAGGAGGTCAGTTTTGTTTCCCAAGACAATAACTGTTACCTACAAACAAAACGAAAGGGTGAGCTTTATACAAAAAGCATCCACCACTCACAATGCTTTTAAACGGCAGGCAAGTAGCAACACAGTTCAGAGCTGTTCTTTAACTTAGCACTGGCACAAGGTAAGCTGCGTGTAGTTTGAAAGATCAGGGTCTGGGATTGGAATTAGTCTCATCTACTTGTGGGCTGGAAGCTGGTTTTAATCATAGGATGTGCAGGACTTCCCCTTCCCCCCGATTGCTGAAAGGGAAACAATACCCAAGAGAGCCAAACAGCCCTATTCTCCGTTTACTCGGCAATTGAGCTGCCCTAGACAAACGGTAAGAGCGTGACATCTGAGTAGGTCAGAGCAGCGGATGCTTGAGAGATGAAGAATTGCATGGCAGCAGAGAAAGCCTGGACCCCACAGCTGTGGATTTCGCCCAGCTTGTTTTTTTCCCCAAGCCCCAGCCCGCAATACAACTAAAGCCAGCGCTGCCACAAGGCAGGCTGCCGGGCAGGCTGAGCCCCTGCACCCCTCTCCCAGCCCAGCTGGCTGCCCGCTCCCACATGCACCGTAAGCCACTAGAGGGACCTAAGCGGACGGTCTTCTGTCGCTGAAAGAGTCGGATAAGCACCGGCACCATCCTCTCGGAAGCAGTTTCAAGAGCAGCCGGTTAGCTAACTAGGCCAGCGCAGCTGTAT